TATGGGTTTCTGGGTTGCAGATGAAGTGGACTTCGATTTAGGCTTTCCGACCGTCCTAGCCTTAATCTTAATCCCCTTCTTCGGCTTCCCCTTTCCGCCTTGGACCATAAGGACGGAAGCACCCTTGCCCTTAGTAAGGTTCTCCTCTGCAGTCTGGAGCATTTTAAGAAGCTCCGGAAGGGGTTTGTCAAGATCATGCATCATGTAGTTCATGACAAAACCCTTATACAGCTCAGGGAGCGACTGCAGGATCAGGTCCGTTGCCAACTCCTTCTGCAAGGAGAACCCGAGTTTCTCCAGATTGGTTATGTAACCAATCATTTTGAGAACGTGCGGACCGACCAGGTTCCCTGAAGAGAGCTTGCAACTAAAGAGAGCCTTACTCACGAGAAAACGTTCATTCCTGGATTGCCCCTAGTATAGCTACCGCAAGGCCACGATCATCTCGTGGGCCTTCATGTCCTCGTGCTGTTTTTGCAGCTCGGTTATCATGGTAGCCAGCATGACACAGCTAACCTGGTTGTAATCCTTAACGTGTTTCTCGTAGGCATCTTTGACCGCTTTCGGGGCGTTAGCGGGAGGGGCAGGAGGAATGGGCTTTTCGAGCACATACTCTTTCTCATCCATGCGGAGAACAATGGAGAGATTGCGTTTCCAGTCAACAAAGTTTGTTCCGTTCAATTTATCTTTATCCAGAATGGAACGCAGGGCGAGGTTGTTTGTGTTGTTGTTTGCCATCTACAGAATTTTGCGAAGATAATTATTATCATGAATTAAGTATCTAATAGGTCTTTATTAAATACTCTCCCACTATTTCTAACAAGTCAACTACCCTCAGGTACGGAACCTATTGACTTGGGGTTTCTATTTGAAGAATACCCTAGGGGGCCAAGATCCATATTTTATTTAACTATAGTTGTGTTTTGCATCTTGCCCTACAGTTAAATTATTTAGGTAGGAATTCATTCCAATTGCAATCGTTATCACAACTCTTGGTTCGGTGGATTCTTTGATTTTATTTATTGATCCTACCGCAGTGCCCTAAGTCTCTCATCCTTATGACCAAGACTTAGTTAAGACTAACCCGGGGCGAGTCAGTACCCTAGTTACGGGTTTCGCGCCTAACCAACGTAAACCGGGCGTCTCACTTGGGGCGAGTCCGTTACCGATCTAAATTGGGTTTGACGAGTGACGGGGCGTCGGGGTGGCACAGACTTAAAATTATGAGGGATTTATAACGCAGTCTTGCCTATGGCATACACCGCGCGTATGCACTAGCGAAAATCACATACATGCATACATTCAATCATACATCACATGCATAATAAGTAAACGTGAAATGATTGTGGCTCCT